AATTAATAAATAGTTCAAAGTTTTCAGTTCTAATTTCTAATATAACAAGTACAGATTTCATCCATATAAACAAAAGCTTGATTTTTAAGAGTATGAAGGGGTGTTGAGACCAAAAAACTTGGAAACTGTTGGTCTAGTCTTTGAGAGTTACCAGCCTTCTTGTTGACCAAACTTTAAAAAAAAAAAAAAAAAAACCTTTTATTAAAGATCATTTTTCCATATTGCACTGTTAGTACAATATGAGTGATAAGCTTGAACTGTCATAGCTAGTAGGTTTCTCAAGGAAGAAGACCTCTTTTAGCATAAAACCTTCATTCTTGGGCCTGTTGAGTAGACACTGGAAGCCCTCTGTGCTTCAGGTTTCAGTCATTGCTTGTGGGTCCTGACACCAGCCAGTGAGTGGCCCCTTGCTTCCCGCTGTTCTGTGTTTATCCCCAGCTACATGGACTTCGGCATCTTAGCTACCTGCATCTCACCTCCTTTGTTAAAAGAGGGATTTGTAAGTGGGTGCTAAGAAAAGGTGTTCTAAAAATATTAGCACCAAGCTGATGCTTTCTCCTGGATGTAACAAAGGAATGGAAAATACATTAAAGAAGAGAGAGGGTGGTGAGAAAAATGAGTCAGTAGTCATTTTCCATTACAACCGAGTACTGGTAGGTAGTGTCTTTCTGCTTGAGTGGTTTATAGTTTGTTCTCTATGAATGAGGAGAGTGTTCTTTCTTTCCCCCCTTCCTCTTTTTGAATTTAATTTTATTATTATTATTATTATTGTTGAAAATATACAGAACAAAACATATACCACTTCAACAGTTTCTACACAGACAGTTCAATGACATTGGTTACATTCTTCAAGTTGTGCCACTGTTCTCAACCACCTTTTCCAAACTGTTTCACTGTCATTGTTGTTGTTATGTGCCGTCGAGCCAGCCCCGATTCATAGCGACCCCTCCTTGGGTTTCCTAGGCAGTATCACTACGGAAGTAGATTGCCCCATCTTCCTTCCGAGAAGTGGCTGGTGGGTTTGAACCGCCAGCCTTCTGGTTAGCAGTCAAGTGCCTGAGCCACTATGTTCACTGTCATTAACACAAACTCATTGTACCCCAAAGCTTCTCCTCTGTCCTTTTGAGGTGCTGTTGTCAATTTGACCACATATACAAATTCTTTAACAGAGTATAATGCTTAATACAGATGTTCTTTTCTAAGTAGGGTAAACTATTATTTGGTTCAGAAATGACTTCAGGGAATAGGGTTAGCTCAAGGTTTAAAGATTTCCTCTAGATAGTAGTTTCAGGGGATCTTCTGGTCTCAGTGGGTCGATAAGTCTGGATTCCATGAGAATTTGAAATTCTGTTCTTCATTTCTCCCCTTTTGATCTTCTTGATTGTTCTGTAGAATCCTTGATCCAAATGTTCAGTAATGATGCCCAGGCACTATCTAGTTCTTGTGGTCTCATGCAAAAGAGGCAGTTGTTCATGGAGCCATAATTGGACACATGATTCCATTTCTTCTATTGATTTCTGATCCTCCTTCCTCTAGTGCTCCCAGCAAATAGAGACCAATTGTTGTGTCGTGTATGGCCAGTCCCAAGCTTTTTTCTTTTTCCTTTTTTTAAATTGTGATTTGGGTGAAGATTTACAGAGCAAATTCAGTTTCCATACAGCAGTTCACATATACTTTGTCTCATGTCATTGACCACAGTTTACCACAATGCAACAGCTCCCCTCCCACTTCCTCCCCATAGTTAGCTCTTCCCAGTGTCCATCCCTCCAGACACTCCTGCCCCCTGAGCTGTCTCCCTGTGCATAAGCAGCCCTTCCTTCTCCCATGATTGTTCTCTCCAAGGAGTGTATCTACTTGAGGTAAATGTTCAACTCATATGCCTGTATTTTGTTTGGCTGGAAACCACAGGTGTGGGTTCAGTTCAGACCTGAAGGGCAGCTAGGGGCCATAGTCTCAGTGGTTCCACTAGGCTCTATCGGACCAGCAAACCTGGTCCCCACCATTTTTTTTTTCTCCAAATGATTTTGAGTTTTGTTCCACATTGTTCTCCCTCTCTATCAAGGATCTTCTACATAGATCCCCTTCAGTCCCAAGCTTTTAAGACCCCAGACGCTATGGAATAAACTAGGAAGTAAAATAGAAGCACCAAAATCAGTATTAGGCCAGTTGACTGGGATGATCCATGAAATGATGACCCTATGCCGAGGAGAGTATTCTTGATTATTAAGTAACATAATTGGTTTCATGAGGTGAACTTTAGCTTTGGAAGTTAGGCACTTTGGTGCATCTATCTTGGAAGCCCACAGGGTGCTTGCACACTGCACAAACTAGGAACTGAGCAAGTGTTAACAGGATTCAGTTGAATTGAGGCTTAAACTTAGCCCTAAAGGGCACTTGTTTGTCCCTTTCTTCCTCTTAGTGGTTGTATCAAGAGGTGACATGAATGGCCTTTAATCCTCCCAAATAGCAGGGTCAGTAAAAACTGTGCTTGCTTTGCAAATTTAGCTTTAAGACAAGTTCCTTAACCTGCTCCCCTTTCCTTCCCAGCTATGGATTGCCAGCCTTAAGCCTGTTCTCTTGAGGCATTCTGGTACCATCACTGTTTCCTCCATCTTTCCCACCCTACCATTCCCCCATCTGTCCAGTCCAGGCAGTGTTCTTTAATGAAACCTCTGTAATACTGAGATGCCTTAGTAATCATGAGTATTAGTGCTTTTAGAGTCTATGAAATGGTTCTCCTTATGGTGGGAGGGAATTGAGACATTTGAGTGATTAATCTATAAATGACATTTGGCTGCAATCCTGGTCAAGTTCTGCTTTCTTTAAGGGGAAGTATTTAAGCCTCAGCCCTGGTGGTATTCAGCCCCTGCTTGTAGTAGGAATGTCTTGGTCTCCTTTTTTTTGGGGAACTGGCTTACTAAACTACACCTTGTGCCTCAGTTAAATTGTTGGGTTCTGGGATGTGCCTCATAGTTACAGTGGATTCATCAGTCATTCTGAAAGGCAAGCCCATTGTTACTGCCTCTGTGTTGCTAGGCCCTAGGGTTCCAGGGGAGCAGAGGTGGGAAGATTATTAATTTAGAACTTTTTGCTAGCTTCTTCAGATAAGAAAATAATTCTGAAAACTTAACGATAGGAAAAATGCATCTTATTATTTCCAGCGAATAAGTAAATTTATTTATCGTTAACAACAAATTAATCATTTTTGTAGGGAGGAAGGGGATTCAGTATTTTTCTTCCCTTGTCAAGTCCTTCCAAGGCTTCTTGAAGGAACCAGCTTCAAGATTAACCAGTGATCATTAGAGACGTGTACTTTGCCAATTCCTAATATGATTATTTGCTTAATGCAGGCAGCTGAGTGTGTTTTCTGCTATGACTTGCCATTCAGGAAGTGACACCCACAGAAAAATATCCTGTGACCAGAACTAGCTTGAGTTGGCTACGGGGTGAGGAGAGTGCGAGAGTCATATGATATGAATCACTCAGATTGCATATTTGCGTTTATTCCTTTGGATCACCAGCTTGGGGACTGACAAGAATGAGAGAAATTTAAAACACCCTCAGAGGCTGACTGATCTGGGGAGGGAAACCTCCAGGAGGGTGGGCCACAGTCGCAGGTTGCTGCAGCATCTCATGTTTCCAGGGACCTTTGAGCATTAAGTTACTGGGAGCTCTGGTAGCATAGTGTCTAAGGCACTTGACTGCTAACCAGAAGGCTGGCGGTTCAAACCCACCAGCTACTCCTTGGAAGGGAGGTGGGGCAATCTACTTCCATAGTGATACTGCCTCGGAAACCCAAGGAGGGGCCATTATGAGTCGGGTCTGGCTCAATGGCACATAACAACAACAGAGAAGATGGATTTAATCTTTGTGACATCTCATGGCCTAGTCTCTTGCCTATCGGAATTACTTAAGAGAACCCCATTTTAGCCAGGTGGAAGATGCTTTTGCCTGCTTTGATTTTCTCCGTTGCTTTCTTAGTTTGTCATTCCTAAACTTTTTATTTCAAGGTGTTGTTAACATCTAAAGGGTAGGATAATAAGGCTGATAGAGGATATCAGTCAATTGATGAAAGAATTTTCTTAACCTCATTACATAATACCTTTTTTATTTGCTCTCAGTCAATAATTTTTTAGTCTTTACATAATTGAAGGAGCTCTGGTGGTGCAGTGCCTGAGGCGTTTGACTGCTAACCAGAAGAATGGCAGTTCAAACCCACCATCTGCTCTGCTGAAGGAAGATGGGGCAATCAACTTCCATAAAGATTTACTGCCTTGGAAACCCAGTGGGGGTTGCTGTGAGTCAGGATTGTTTTGTTGTTGTTGTTGTTTTAACATAATTAATTCAAAGCAACAATGTATATTTGTTCCTCCCAGTCTTGGGAGTTGGGGTTTGATGGTGTTATGTTTATGGTATACCACCTAAAGCCCTTTAGGATAAATGAGGTAAGAATGCATGCATGTGTGCATGCACACACACACAATCCATGATTAAATAAGTTAATTCCATACTGTTTTTTGAAAAAACTACTTCAGAGCCCTCCATGCTTTCGGTGTGATGCTATAACTGTTGTGGGAAGGCAGGGATCATCATTGTATTAGCATAAGGTTGCTGCCAGTGGCTTAAGATCTGCCACTGAGTTGGCTTCTGTATCTCACTTCTAACAATGTAGAAATCTATGTACCTTGTTTGTTAGAAGCATAAAGTTAGAAGTAGGTACTGCTGTGAGGGAAGAAAGATGGATAAGAAGAGTGAAGCAGCAAGACAGAACAAGGAGATTTGACACCTTCTTAGGTCATAGCTCTTTCTAGCCGTGTGTCTCTTAGCTGCACATATGAGCTAATCTCTGCCTTACCAGCTAGGGGCGGATCTTGTGCCTGAGTGAGGACTGTCTGCCTATGTCCTCTCCTTTGCTTCTAGATTCCCGCTAACTTGGTCTGGTCTCAGGGCTGATTTACTCAACTTGCCTTTAACTTCCTCTTCTTCTTTTGTCTCTGTAGAAGATCATTGCTGTCTTCAAACCCAAGAACGAAGAGCCATATGGGCATCTTAATCCTAAGTGGACCAAATGGCTGCAGAAACTTTGTTGTCCCTGCTGCTTTGGCCGTGACTGCCTTGTCCTCAACCAAGGCTATCTCTCAGAGGCAGGGGCCAGCCTGGTGGACCAGAAACTGGAACTCAACATTGTGCCCCGTACAAAGGTAAGAGTTTTCTTGGGACTTCAGACTTAGTACATGTTAGCAGAAACATTAGGTCTGGTGAGGGCTATTTATGTTGAGTTGGAGGTTCTTTCCGTTTTCTTTGGTGGCAGCAGGTGAGGCTCATGGTTTGGTTATCTAATGAAAGCTAGCCTCAGAAGGGTACACAGACCCTCTGGTGCTCATCTGTGGGCTCCCTGGGTCTTTATATCCCAGATAACCCCAAGTTGGTTAGAAACATTGGTACTTTTATGGGTCACTTTCTTGAACTTCTGAGTCAGTCCAGCCTTTAGATACTATGGTAGTTCAGTTTTTGTGTCAACTTGGCGGGCCTGGTTGAGTGGCTGGGCAGCTGGATGTAGTATTCCCCATGATGAGACTGGTAATTAACTCCATGGCAGAATCTACTGTGAGCAGCTGAGTAGCTGCCTTAGGGATGTGGTCTGCTTCCTGTATATGAGGAGAATCCTTGGGGAATGGTCTCTAGTTTAGGGCACACTTGGACCCTGCATGTAGCCGTGTCATTCATTGTTTAGCAGCCTGCCATATGCTTTGCCGATCGTGGGACTTTTAATGGACTTGAATTAATGGCCTGCCAAGTGGTTTGGTGCCTTTTTAGTTGTCAACCTTGATCTTATTAGCCTCAGCAGCCAGCAGCTGAGTGAAGAAAAGCCTCCAGCTTCAGTGGGCTGGGAGCAGGAGGCAGAGCTGAAGCCCAAGAGTGAGGGGCTTTCACCTAGCCCCTAGAGCCTGGCCCTTTGAACTTGGACTTAAAGCCTTCAAACTGTAAGAAAATAATAAACTCTTGTTTCTTCAAGCCTCACATTTGTGATATACGCCTGTCAGAGTGGCACTAGGTAACCAGAACAGATACAGTCTAGAATGGGCTAGCTGATGTCAGCTAAGCATTTAAGCAAGGTTCTGGCAAGGAAGGCTCTAGGATGGGCTGTGGGTTAGAGCAAAGGTCTTCCCTGAATCCCTACAAGGAGCTGGCATGGAATTCTTTTCATCCATGCTCATACTGGACTTGAATGAACATATGAAAATAGGGGTCCTGTTTCTAGGCAAATCTACACATAAAATTTTAACTTTGTATGTGCTACAGACTCAGTTGAGGTTCTGATGAAGGGTGTGGACCATCTCCCTAGAAAAATGTGCTTAATATACAATTGAATTACATTCAATTTCAGAGAATTTACTGACCCCCAGGTTAAGGACCCCTGTATAATACACAGGGTGCTTCCCTTTGATCTTTGAAACTTTCTAGGAGTTATGAGGGGAAACAACTTTGCTTGTCAGCATATGAACATTTAAGGACACATGATCACCCACTGAGTATGTGGATACCTGAGGTTTAGTAATCACTTAGGTGGAATTCTGATTTGGTGTCCTAAGGCTGTAGGGGCATCTTTATGGCTCCAGGCAGGATGTCTGGGACTTGACCCTCTTTGAGAATCTGATAAAAATGGTAGATCTTGTCCCCAGAAAAAGTATACATATTTACAGTCATTGTTTTGCATGTAATTTTGGGGATAGTTCATAGACTAGTTAAAAATCTGTTGACTCTCTTGGGACCATGGCCTCGAGACTACAAACACCTGCTTGAGGTTTTCTTTGCAGTTTTAGGTTGCAAAGTCTGAGAGCAAAGAGGCTATCAGCAGACAGCAACTTCCCTTCCCACCTGTTTTTCTTTTTCTCCAGAGTATCTCAGAAGAGAATGTGATACAATAGTGTTTCATTGTGTCTATTTCTTTGCCACTAAACTTCCAGTAATAGGTCAGCTAATTTGTAAGTTTGTAGAAGTCAGGAACCACCATTTCTTGAAGTTTCTTTTTTCATTGTCAGCACCTAGTGAAAGTATTTACTTAAAGTAAGCAGCTGAATCAGTGAATGAAAATCAAATCATGAGAAGCAAAAGCAAAGATTCCCCGGTGCCAGATCTGTGGGGAGATTATTTGACCAGGCTCATAGTTCTCGTTTGACTTGTAATTCACTGCCTGGCCTTGAGTAGCTTATTCCTTCCCATCATGCTTTGCTTTTCTCTGTCCATGCAGGTACTTAAAACAGCACACTTTAGACATCTTGTATGATAATTAATGGTCCCAAGATCTCCTGCCTAACCTGAAATCCTCCTATTAGGCCATTCCTAGGAGCTCTGATAGCATAGTGTCTTAAGGCACTTGACTGCTAACCAGAAGGCTGGCGGTTCAAACCCACCAGCCATTCCTTGGAAGGAAGATGGGGCAATCTACTTCTGTAGTGATACTGCCTTGGAAACCCAAGGAGGGGTTGCTTTGAGTCAGGTCTGACTCGATGGCACATAACAACAACAACAGACTCTCGAATCCTTTAAATACTCTTTGCTCAGCACTTTGTAATTTCCTTCATTTGCTGGGCAGATATTAGACTGCCCCAGGACTTGGGCCTGCCTGCTCTGACCGTTTCTGGAGTGCAAGGCTTAAGAATTAGAAGGCTTGAGTTTGAGTTCTGGCTTAGCAGCTTTTTATAGGGATGACCTTTGTGTAAGTCACTGAAACCCTCTTATGCTTAGTTTCCACCTTTGTGCAAGTTACTGAAACCCTCTTATGCTTAGTTTCCTCTATTATACGATGACTATCAAGATTATGCAAAATAATACGTGTAAAGTATGCCTGTAGCACAGTGCCTGGCACAATGTAGATGTTCTGTATGTGTTAGCCTGTGGTATAAGCTGTTCTAGTCATGATTCTCACCCCATTCTTCTCCATTTCTGGTCTTCTGGTTTCCCTATTAGAAAACTTCACTGAGACCTGAGGATCTTTTTCATCAGAAAGTCAGCAACAGAAAAACACTTGTCTCCTGTTAGACTGAGATGAGATAGAACTTTGCAAATTTAAGGTACAGCTGCTGGAGAATAGTGAGAGGAAGTTCATCGCTTCTCAGCCTCCCTCAGCCCCCACCCTTGAGACAGGGTTCTATCCAGTTGATCAGAGCATCTGTCACTATGGAAACAGAGCTTACTTGCAGCTAGCTGTCTTTGCTCTCTGTTCCTGTGAGGTTCCAGGTTGTGATAGTTTCATTACTATTGTATTCATTGTGATAGTTTTCATTACATTAAGAGAAAAAGTGACTTGTTACAAAAAAGTGATCAAAAATACACCTGGTAGGGAAAAGCGTGGTTAATAGCTTGTGGTGGTTTGAGAGAGCCAGGGCTGTCTCTGTGGAAACTGGCAGGGTAGCCGTTAGGAAAGCCCTTTCTTCCTTCATCGTGGTGGCAGTTTCCTGATTTATAATGTGGGAGTGCCTACAATAGTACTTTGCACGTCCATTTTAGGACTCTGTTAACACTGGATGGATGGGTGGATGGAAGGAAGGAAGAAATGATTTTGAGCTCTCTCTCCCCAAGGTTCATGGGCAAAATAATTACTTACATTGGAATGAATTTTGCAAGGCTTAGGAAAAGAAAAAATTATACTATAAATTTGATCTTAGGTATTTATATGGTAAAACCCACTTGTTGCTGTCTCTGAAAGAAGCTTATACTCATTCATTCATTCGTTAAACATTTAATAAATACGTGCCAGACACGGTGTTAGGTGCTGGCGATGCTGATGTGAATAAGATGTTTTCTGCCTCCCCAAATCTCATTGGTCTTAAGAGAGAGGTTAGGCATACAAATAGATAATCACAATATGATAAGTGTTTTAGTAGGTATGTGTGTGTGTGTGTATGTGTGTATACAGATTACAGTGATGTCACTGAAGTTTGGCAGTCAAGTATAATAGTGATGGCTAATTAAGAATTTTTTGAATAGGTAATACATGCAATAATCCAAGAAGACATAGAAGAGTAAACAGAATTAAGACCGATTTTCCTGTTTGTTTTTAAAACTATGAAAAAAAGTAAATAAAAAGATACAGAGTAAATTACAATCTCTTTTTTTCTCCAATGATATTTTACTGTGTTTTTGTGTAAGGTTTACCCAACAGTTTAGGTCCCCATTCAGCAATGTCACAAGTTGTTTATTGACATTGGTTACATATTTCACAATGTGTGAATATTCTTATTTCTGTTCTGGTGGTTTCATTTCCATTAATCTAGTTTCCTTGTCCCTTTACCTTCTCAGCTGTGTTTTAAATTAATTGTTGACCATTTGGTCTCATATAATTGATTTTTTAAAGGTGTACCTACTCACGGGTGATGTACTTTGTTTTGTGAGTCAGTCTCTTATTTAGCTAAAAGGTGACCTCAGGGGTTTTCAGTTTAAGATTTAAAGAATATCTCAGGGCAATTGTCTTGGACAGCCCTCTGATCTGTCAGTCAAACAATCTGTTTCCATTTGGAGAGATAATATGCCTCCCTCGGGCAGGCCATCTCCTCAAGAGTAGGTATTGGGCCATCACCTCCTAACCCAGGAAGTGGCTGTATTAGGATAATTCCCTCTAGCTGCTGTAACAACCCCTGAGTCTCAGTGATTTAACACAATAAAAGTTCATTTCTTGTTCATGTCACAGACCCATGCTAGTTAGGCACTCTGTGTAGTAACAGGCTCCTTTCATGGTGTGGCTCTGCTACCTCCAGACCCTTCATTTCCAACTACACATATGGAATGTGAGCTAAGGGTCATGTGGGGGATATTTGGGGCCAGGTCTGAAAGTAGTGTACATACATCACTTCATCCATGTTCCACTGGCCTGCACTGGTCATAACACCCTATCCTGGCTGCTGGGAAGGCTGAGGATGCATTCTTTTTGTGTACCTTAGGAGAGCAACAGGACTGGTGAGTGTCTGGTTATTCTCTGCTATAGTGGTCTGATTTCTTAAACTTGATTCTAACCTTGCTGTTCTTTCTTCACTGTAGGTAGTATATCTGGCCAGTGAGACCTTCAACTATAGTGCCATTGACCGAGTGAAGTCCAGGGGCAAGCGGCTTGCATTAGAGAAAGTGCCAAAAGTTGGGCAACGGTTTAACCGCATTGGGCTACCACCAAAGGTATATATAGGTGGCATGCGATGATTTCTAGTGGCATAGTCATCCATTGTGCAGCAGGGTTCCTGCAGACTCAAAGCTGACATACGAATAGCCTGCCCTGAAGCTCCTGTCTGCCTCGTTTTTATCAAGGATCTCTGAGGTTTGGAGAACTATTCTCTGGAGAGTAGAAGACCCTTACTTTTTTCACTTTACTCTTCTGAGCCATTTGGATGGGCTTCTCAAATTTTATGGGCAATCTTTGTCACACTTTTTTTTTCCTTGTACTTGCAAGGAAGTGAAAGAGTAAAGATTTTTAAAAGTTCTTCTTTCATGTAAACTCCACAGGGCCTTAGCAGGTTCCTGGCTTATTCCTGAGGTCTTTGGGCTTGGGCTGTGGGGAAATACCTTTGTTCCTAACTCTCGATTCCAGGTCGGTTCATTCCAGCTCTTTGTTGAAGGCTACAAAGATGCAGACTACTGGCTGCGGCGTTTTGAGGCAGAGCCGCTCCCTGAGAACACTAACCGGCAACTACTGCTGCAGTTTGAGCGGTTGGTGGTGCTGGATTACATCATCCGCAACACCGGTGAGCAGCTGTGGGTGGTCCCTTGCCCTGTGCCAGGCTGTGGAGGGACTGGGGAGGAAGGACTGGAGGCTTGCAGTTTGGGAGCCAGAATGGCTTACCAGGATGAGATTTCTCGAAGTGCGAATGGTCATGCACACATGGGAGGGTCTTAGAGAGTACTTGCCCCTGTCATACTTTGTCGTGACACAGCATGTGTCGTTGTCAGACGTGGTGAGGCCTAAAGCCAGCATTCACACTTATCTTACCCTCTTTCCTGGTCCTGGACAGAGGACACTTGGCTCTTCCAGAGCTCTGTGAAGAGCACTTTTATCCTTGATCCCTGTTCATTCTTGTAGCAACAAGGTCTTGGGTGTTTTTCTAACGTCTTGAGGCAGATGCTTCGTTCATCAATTTTCAGCCTTTCTCCTTTTCTGATATGCATTGTAAGACTTAAAGTTCATTTTAAGCATAGCTTAGCTGCATCCTACAAACTTTTTTTTCACTGTAGTCAAAATATTTTGCAGTTTTTATTGTAATTTCTTCTTTGACTCATAGGTTACTTAAAATAATACTTTTAACTGTTTATTATGGAAAATTTAAACATATACAAAAATAGAGTGGTGTACTTGTTACCAGCTGGAACATTTATTATATAAGGCTCCACTCACGGCTGTCCCCATTTCCTGCTGGATTGCTTTAAAGCAGATCCCAGACATCATATCATTGTATCTGTCAGTGTTTCCATGTGTTCTTTAAGAGATAAAGACTTTTTTTTTTTTTTTACTTATAACTACCATCTAATGCCCTGTTAGTGTTCAGATTTCCCCAATTCACTCAGAAATATTTTTATATGGTTGATTTGTTCAAATCATGATCCAAACAAGGTCTGGATATTATATTTGATAATACTTTACTTAAATGTCTAATTTTTAAAAGTTCTACCTCTTTTTTTTTTCCTTGCCTTTTATTTGTTGAAGAAACTGGGTTATTTGCCTTGTGGAGTTTCTACACTCTGGTTGGTTGGTTGGTATGTGCTGTCAAGTCAGACCCGACTCATAGTGACCCCTCCTTGTGTTTCTGAGGAAGTATCACTACAGAAGTACATTGTCCCATCTTCCTTCTGAGGAGTGGCTGGTGGGTTTGAACCGCCAACCTTCTGGTTAGCAGTCAAGTGCCTTAGGCACTATGCTTCTTTGGTGTTCGTTAATACACACTTCATCCCTTATGTTTCTTGTAACTGGATAGCTAGGTCTAAAAGTTTGTCAAATTTGAGTTTTTTATTTTTATTTTGACATAATTTCAGAGTAATGGAAACATGTATTCTTCACTCACTTGTCTAAATGTTAGAATTTTACCTCATTTGCTTTATCATTCTTGTATCAGAGAGATGTATTTACATATGTATATACACCCACTCCTCATTTATCATCATGATTGGGTTCCAAAGATCAGATCGTTATGTAAAAATTAAGGTAGCTAAGTGAGCCTTGGTAGAACATCCATTTATATTGGATGCAAGCTACACCCCCAAGGAAACCCCCTTTTCAACTAATTGGCTGCTCACCTCAGATCACAAAATGGAGGATCACTACATCATTACATAACTGCCAAACCACTGAGAATCATGGCCCAGCCAAGTTGTTACATAAAACCTTAACTATCATCAGTGTTACTCTTGCCTCGCACCTTGGTGTGCTTATGTCATTAATGCTCAAAATAAAATGTTGTTGTTGTTGTTATGTGCCATCGAGTCGGACCCGACTCATAGCGACCCCTCCTTGGGTTTCCAAGGCAGTATCACTGCGGAAGTAGATTGCCCCATCTTCCTTCCGAGGAGTGGCTGGTGGATTTGAACCGCCAGCCTTCTGGTTAGCAGTCAAGTGCCTTAGGCACTACTGTCAGTTAATATTTGTTTGTTCCTTTGTTGGGCAGATGCTTTGAGATATGTAAAAACCCCGCTATGCAAACTTTCATTCACAAGTGTTGGCATCTGTTGATGATCCTTGCCTGAATCATTTATTACTATTATGGGTGCCATACCTCTTTTCTGACTCTTTTATTATTTTATTGCAAGTCTCACATATGATATAATTTCATTCATAATTATTTCTCTATTATCTCTAAAAGGTAACTCTTTAAAAAAAAATTAGTATGAGTCAAAATTGACTTAGCAGCAGTGAACTTGGTTTTTTAATACTGCTATCACACCATGACAAAATTATCAGTGTTTATTTAGATTTACTAATATATTTACCCATTTTATTAAAAAATTCCTTTCATCTCCAAGCTTCTATTTGAGATCCTTTCTGGTGGCACAGTGGGTAAGGCATCTGGCTGCTAACCAGAGGGTCGACACGTTCAAACCCATCTGCTGCTCTGTGGGAGGAAGATGAAGCTATCTACTTCTGTGAAGATGTATAGCCTTGGAGGAGGAGGCGGGGCAAGATGGCGGACTAGGCAGAAGGATTGCACAGACCCTCTTCAACAAAGAAAAGGGAAACCAATTAACACAGACAC